CAATTAGGCTTCACCTCGTCCAACTAGCCTTTACCTCGTCCAATTAGCCTTTACCTCGTCCAACTATGCTTCACCTTGTCCAACTAGGTTTCACCTCATCCAACTAGCCTTTACCTCGTCCGATTTGCCTTCACCTCGACAACTAAGCTTCACCTCGTCCAACTAAGCTTCACCTCATCCAACTAGCCTTTACCTCGTCCGATTTGCCTTCACCTCGACAACTAGGCTTCACCTCGTCCAACTAGGCTTCACCTCGTCCAACTAGGCTTCACCTCGTCCAACTAGGCTTCACCTTGTCCAACTAGCCTTTACTTCGTTCAACTAGCCTTTACCTCGTCCAATTAGCCTTTACCTAGTCCAACGAGCCTTTACGTTATCCAGCTAGCCTTTCCCTCGTCCAACTAGACTTTACGTCATCCAACTAGCCTTCACCTCGTCCAACTTGCCTTTACCTGTTCCAACTAGCCTTTACGTTGTTCAACTAGCCTTTAAATCTTCCAACAAGCCTTTATGGCGTCAAACTAGCCTTTACCTTCCTTTAACTTGTCTAATTAGACTTTACCTCCTCTAGCTAGCCTTTACATCCTACAACTAGACTATACGGCATCCAACTACGCTTTAACTTATCCAAATAGCCTTTACCTCATCCATCTAGCTTTTATCTTGTCCCAATTGCCTTTACGTCTTCCAACTCGGGGTTGAACGGCTACATAATTTTTAAACTCGACATTAACATAAATAAAACTCGAGTAGAACTCGAGTACTTGATGACATCATAGGATCTAAAGATACAAAAATAAATAAATAAATAAATAAATAAATAAAACCACAAAAAAGGTCATTATTTGCAAAAAAAGACCAACTAAACATTGGGAGCATATATTTTGCTCCTACCATTTATCATACTGCAAATAAGTCACAGGAAAAACTAAACTATTAGTTACTATTATTATTATTAAGCTGCTAACGTGAAGAAACGTGCAACACGTCGAAAACGAAACTAAAAACAGTGGGGGTCCCACCCCTCACCACCGCCAGCTGTGGTGCGCATTAAGTTTAGTTTTAGAGATTAATATATTTATAGATTTTTTTAAATAGGTTTAGAGAATAATATGTTTTGCTTTTTGTTTGTGAAACAAGGTCAGAAGGAAGCTGGTTCGGTAAATTGGACCCGGTGTTACACCATACTCTGTGACCTGCAACAGTGCAACACCGCCCCCTACTGTCACAAAATATGGTGTAACACCGGTTCGCACGCGCTCCAAACAGTCAGGAAGTTGTTTCATCTTCTGTTTCCTTACGGTAGTTGAACTAGAAGATTCATCTTTAGTGAAATATTTCCAGACTACTGATGCATTTCTACCCGTTTGTCAAGACTGGGTCTGCTCTGCTCCATCCGTCTGCTTGAAGGAATCCATTTTGTAACCCGCGCCTGTGCGGATCACGTGACGCAATGACGTAACGGCGGCGTAATGACGTCACCACAAATACTCGTCGTGAAATTAAAAACCTGGATAGGTGTCCTAGGAATTGATGTGTAGATTACTCGAGTAGTCTGTTAAAGCCCTACTTCCAACTAACCTTTACCTTGTCCACCAAGCCATTACCTCTTCCATCTAGCCTTTACCTCCCTTTATCTCGTCTAACTAGCCTTTACATTGTCCAACTATACTTTACTTCATCCAACAAACCTTTACGTCATCCAACTAGTCTTTTACCTTGTCAAACTAGTCTTTACCTCATCCAACTAGCCTTTACCTCGTCCGACTAGCCTTTACCTCGTCCAACTAGCC